AAAAAAGAACAAAAAGAAAGAAAGAAAGAAAGAAAAAGCCCTTTACAAATATTAACTCATTTAATTCTCAGAACACGCGCAGGAGGTGGGTCCTACTGTCCTGCTGGTTTTGTAGATGAGCTAACTGAGGCACAGAGAGGATAAGTCACATGGCCCAGCTCTTGGTCACACCTCAGCCTCCATTTCAGAGAGGAGAAAACAAGGCTCCAAAAGGGGAAGTCATCGGCCTGAGGTCACCAGCGGGAAAGTGGAGGAGTCAGGATGGGGACCGAGGTCCATCTGAGGCCAGAGCCAGTGCTGACCCGCCAGACAGGAAATCAGAGCTGGCGACTGACCACGGGGCACGTTCGAGCAGGTGGTGGGTGGCGATGAGGGCTGGGGTGAAAGCCAGGATGAGGTGTCACATCAGGCTAGGGCTCCTGCTGGGCCTGGCGGGCCAGAGACCCCTGGCTGATGCCTGGAGTACCTCTCCCTCCTCTTTTCTGCTGTGCCGTCCCCTGGGTGGCCAAGGCGCCCAGCCCGGCTGTGGATCTGACACCTCCTGCTGCCGAGCTCTGATCAGAATCTGACTGCAGGGCAGGGGGCGAAACCGAATCCTGCTGGGCCTCCCCTGGCCTGGATGTCATGGCAGACACCCCAGCCCTACTCCTTGGCACCGCCCGTCCCCTAGCAGTGGCCTTGTTGGAACCTGGAGAGCCTGTGCCCACCCCAGGGTGCCGACCAGGCTGCTGCCTTGGCCCTGGGCTCCGGATTCCAGGATCCCCAGGGATCCCATGCCCAGGCTCCTGCCCCTCCCGGCTCTGAGGTGAGCTGCTGGGATCAGGTTCCTGCGGTTTCATGTCCTGCATTGTTCTTGGCTGGGCCCTGGCTTATGAAACAGTAATGAGGGGCCCCTGCTCCCAAAGCCGGTCCCTCTAAGGTTTCCACTGCCTCGGCTGCTGCTGCCACCACAGCCTGGAGTCGGGGCCTGGGAGGGCGGCAGCGTGGGGGCCTGAGCCGGAGCCCCCCGGGGACGAGGGTGCTGACAGCCGACAGCCACCACCGCCAAAGCCCGCAGCCCAGGTAATCCGAGAGGAGGCGGGGCACAGGGTGACATGGCCACTGTCTCCCACCACCAGGGGAGGGACCTGCGGCTCTCCCGAGGTGGGGAGGAATTGGGGGGGGACCCTGGAGGTGAGCAGCCATTCCCCCTTGGTGAGCTGAGCACCAGACCAGCCTTCACAGGTGTGGCTTCCCGAGGGCAGAGGGAGAGAGGAGTGGGCAGCTGGCTCCAGGCCCCCGCCCTTTTCCTGGGCCTTGACCCTCCAGCCCTGGAGCCCCTGCTTCTCCATTAGTGGGGCAAATCTCTTCCGTACTCCAAGGCCTTGTTTTCCCATCTCCTCCACCATCCACTGCCTCTGCCTCCCCCAGACCTCTCCCTTCTCTCAGCCCGCTGAATCCTTCCTCCTCACCTTTGTCTTTTGGCCGGAAAAGAACCTGATGGATCCTTCTATCCACCTCGTTCTGGGGCGCACACATACACATGCATGTATACATAACTTAAACTTATGTAAACATACAGATCAGTGTACCCGCAGGACCTGTGGAGACGTGCATGCACAAGAGCTGTCGATGCCCATGTGCACACGTGTGCCCCCAATACCAGGCCTTTATCCACACACATACCTGCTCCAAGGCCCATCATACGTATACACACACATGTGCATGTACACACCAGGCTTCTCGGCCAGCCCTCGGCTTGAGTCCCAAGGGGCGCTTCCTGCCTGATGGGCAGCTCCTTGGGAAGTACGAGATCCCTGGAGGAGACGTCTGGAGACTCCCACACTGCCCAGTGCCGGGAGGGGCTGTGCAGGGGGAGGGGAGCCCCCACGTGGGCTCTGAGCCGCCTCCTCTCTCCAACCCTGGTCCAGGAGCTCAGGAGCCCTTCGGGTGCTGAGGCACCCTACTGCGACCTGCCTCAATGCCCACCAGTCTCTGAAGACCCACTTAGCTCCTCAACCTCCGGCTGCCAGCCTGTGGTGGACCCAGGCCTCAGGCCAGGCCCCAAGAGGTGGGTAGAGCCACAGGGCTCGGGGAAGGTCTTTGTGGGGTGGAACACCCTTGCCCTTCCCACTTGCACTCCTTCCCCAAGGCAGTGCGTGTATCTAATGGCTGCTGGCATGGGTCACGTGCTCAGTCCTCCAAGCCTAGGCACAGGCAGGCGGTGGGCATGCTCCTCGGGCCCACAGAAGAACTCAGATCACACCACTGTGCTTGCACCTGGGTGGCTGAGCTTCCCCTCCCCAACCCTGGCTGTCTCTCCCGGGGGCCCTGCCCACCCCATAACCTTCCAAGACCTCGCTCAGCTGCATATGTGGCTGCTGTGTACCGACCTTGCAATGGGCATGGCCACATCCTGCTCACATTTCCTGGTTCCCTTCGCACAGCTTTAAAAGATCAAATAGTCCCTGCACCCAGGGGCACCTGCTGTCACCCACCTACCTGGGCGTGCACTGCTCCAGGCTCTGGGGTTCCTTCCATCCTCAGGCCCGAGCGGAAGTCCTCCTTTAGGGTTAGGAGGCCATGGCCTGAGCATCTAGAAATCTGGGTCCCAGCTTAAGATTCACCCCTGCTGGATCTTGAGCAAGCTACTCTGTCTTTCTGTATCTCATTGTCCTGTCTGTAAAATAAAAGGGGTTGAATCAAATCAGCACTGCGCTGGGATCAGGTGCTCCTCACAGGTAGGCATATTAAAAACAAACATACAAAAAACAAAAAAAAACAGGGCGAGGTGGCTCACACCTGTAATCCCAGCACTTTGGGAGGCTGAGGTGGGTGGATCACTTGAGGTCAGGAGTTTGAGACCAGCCTGGCCAACATGGTGAAACCCCGTCTCTATTAAATATACAAAAATTAGCCAGGCATGTTGGCAGGTGCCTGTAATCCCAGCTGCTCAGGAGACTGAGGCAGGAGAATCGCTTGAACCCAGGAGGTAGGGGTTGCAGTGAGTTGAGATGGTGCCATTGCACTCCAGCTTGGGTGACACAGCAAGACTCCGTCTCAAAAAAAAATAAACAACAACCCTCAAAGACAGCTTTGCTATCAAGTATGTTTCAGAAAGTGGGATAAATGAAGTTGAATAGCTTTCCTGCAGGACTTGTCAGAGCCTTTAGCTTGCCTGTGTGTGTTGTGGCTTTTAGGTGAGGGAGGTAGAGAAGTATGTCATTTGACTACAGAGTTCTTTTTATGGTCAGCACTTATTATCCTCATGTAGGCTAATCTGTGGGTCATCTTTGGGGATACTGTCAGCACTAAGCCTTCTTGAGCCTGTGGCTTCTTTTAAAGCAGGGCTTTCTCAGCAGCTCTCTCCCTCAGCATCCAGGCTGGTGAACCTGTCACTGCCCGTGGAGTGTGCTGCCTCTCACATCCTCATTAGCCCAGCATGAATCTGTCTCCTTTTTTTTTTTTTTCTCAAGATGGAGTTTCACTCTTGTTACCCAGGCTGGAATGCAGTAGCATGATCTTGGCTCACTGCAATCTCTGCCTCCCGGGTTCAAGCGATTCTCCTGCCTCAGCCTCCCGAGTAGCTGGAGTTACAGGCATGTACCATCATGCCCAGCTGATGTTTTTGTATTTTTTAGTAGAGACGGGATTTCTCCATGTTGGTCAGGCTGGTCTCGAACTACTGACCTCAGGTGATCCACTCGCCTCAGCCTCCCAAAGTGCTGGGATTACAGGCATGAGCCACTGCACCTGGCCATGTCTTCTTAGACTTCCTGAGCTTGGGGTCAGTAGACTAAGACTAACTCGGAGAAGGAGCTCCACTTTCGGTTGAAAATTGGGGCTGGGGCAATAGTTTTGGTTCATAACATGGCTCTGCCCTTTCCTTTCTCTGTGACCTTGGCCAGTCTGTTGACCTCTCTGAGCCTCAGTGTCTTCCTCTCTGAAATGGGAATCATTATTATTATTATTTTGAGATGGAATCTTGCTCTATAACCAAGGCTGGAGTGCAATGGCAAGATCTTGGCTTACTGCAACCTCAGCCTCCCAAGTGGCTGGGATTACAGGCATGCGCCACCACACTTGACTAATTTTTGTATTTTTATTTATTTATTTTTGAGATGGAGTCTCATGGTGTCGCCCAGGCTGGAGTGCAGTGGCGCGATCTCAGGTCACTGCAACCTCCGCCTCCCAGGTTCAAGCAATTCTCCTGCCTCAGCCTCCCAAGTAGCTGAGGCTACAGGCGCATGACACTGCGCCCAGCTAATTTTTGTATTTTTAGTAGAGATGGGGTTTCACCATGTTGACCAGATCACCAGGTCGAACTCCTGACCACAGGTGATCTGCCCATCTCAACCTCCCGAAGTGCTGGGATTACAGATACAGGCCACCATGCCCGGCCTAAAATGGGAATTATTATACTTGCTTTAAAGGGATGCTGTTTTAGCTCATCGAGGAAACCCATATAAAAAGCCGGACACAGAGGCAGCCCTCGGCATTGGCTCCCTCTCCCACACCAGTGTGTGCAGCGTGTGGGCCCCAGGCTCCCTTTGTGAGTGAATGTGTATGCCTGGGTGGGGTGAGGGGTACTCCTAACTCCCCATTACTTTTTGGGAAAAAGTCATGGGTCTGTCTCCTCTCCCAGGGCCCCATCCCCCTCAGCAGGGCTCCCGGAAGAGGGCCCCACAGCCACCCCCAGGAGCAGGAGCCAGGAGCTTGAGGCGGTGCCCTATCTGGAGGCCCTGACCTCTTCCCCGCGAGGCAGCGGCAACGAGGACCCCGGCTCTGACCGCAGCTCCAGCCCTGACTCCGCCACCCCTGATGATACCAGCAACTCGTCCTTTGTGGTGAGCCAGGAGAGGGAGATGGGGGGATGAGAGGGTCCCATGCCGCCATCTCCAGCCCTGGGTCCTGCCTCAACCTGCAGGCCAGGGCCGAGCCTCATACTGGGAAGCTGGTGAGGTCCTCTGGACCATTAGCTGGCACCTCAGGCCACCTCGGTGAACCCCTGGAGGGTGGGAGTTTCAGCACGGGCTGGCCCAGGGCGGCTGGAGTCTGGCTGTGAAGAGACCGAGGAAGGCGTTTCAGCCAACAGGAGCTCCGGGTGAATCACCAGCAGGCTTGGGCTGCCACACACTCTCAGGTCCCAGAGGGCTGGGACGTTGGGCACGGTATCTAGAGCAAGAGTGGCACAGAGCCCCAGGGCCCTGCCCTTGCCATGCAGTGCTGAGCCCCATGACCAGCCCTGGCATAGATTTCCAAGGGACATAGGACAGGGAGCAGGCTGCAGGGGTCATTTAGCTATGAAAAGAGAAGACCCAGCAGTCATTTCTCAAGCATTTGCACTTTGAGGGGCTGCCACAGAGCAGGAGAGACAGGCTTGTCCCAGGAGACCCCCAAAGGAAAGTGACAGGGGTGGTGATAAGATTCAGAATGAAACAAACCAGGCCAGGTGAGGTGGCTCACACCTGTAATCCTAGCACTTTGGGAGGCCGAGGTAGGCGGATCACGAGGTCAGGAGTTCGAGACCCGCCTGACCAACATGGTAAAACCCCGTCTCTACTAAAAATACAAAAATTAGCTGGGCATGGTGGCGGGTGCCTGTAATCCCAGCTACTCAGGAGCCCAAGGCAGGAGAATCCCTTGAACCTGGAAGGTGGTGGTTGCAGTGAGCCGAGATCACACCACTACACACCAGCCTGGGTGGTAGAGCAAGACTCCTTCTCAAAAACAAAACAAAACCAACCCAGCTTCTCCTTCCTAAGGGCTTGGTGGGTGTGGGCTCAGGGGAGACTCACCACACCCTTGGAGGCGGAGGCTACGATGGCCGCACATGGGGCTGAGGCTCAGAGAGGGGAGCAACCTAGTGGAGGCCACACACCTGGGAAGTGTTGGGGCTAGGATTTGAACCCACTTCTCTCTGGCCCTTTGGGGTGTCTCACACAGTCCCAAATGTAGAGCTGTGGGACTCTGGGGAAAGCTCGTGGCGTCAGTGGACATGCATGTCTCCCAGGTTTATTGAAGGTGAGTGACTTAGCACTTAGCACCTGCCAGAGCCCAGCACAGTGCCAGGCAAACAGCACGTGCTTTTTATTTAATTGATTGATTGAGACAGGGTCTCTCTCTGTTGCCCAGGCTGGAGTGCAGTGATGCGAAAACAGCTCACTACAGCATTAACCTGGGCTTAAGCGATCCCCCAATCTCACCTCAGCCTCCTGAGTAGCTGGGACTACAAGCGTGCACCACCATGCCTAGCTAATTTTTTTTTTTCCTTTTTTGAGACACAGTCTTGCTCTGTTGCCAGGTGCCAGGCTGGAGTGCAGTGGCACGATCTTGGCTCACTGCAACCTCCACCTCCCGGGTTCAAGCAATTCTCCTGCCTCAGCCTCCCAAGTACCTGGGACTACAGGTGCTCGCCACCACACCCAGCTAATTTTTGTATTTTTTTATTAGAGACGGGGTTTCATCATGTTGGCCAGGATGGTCTCGATCTCTTGACCTCATGATCTGCCTACCTTGGCCTCCCGGAGTGCTGGGATTACATGTGTGAGTCACCATGCCTGGCTGAGAAGTGCTTTTTAACGTCAGTTCCTTTCCCTTCCTTCCACCCTCCCATTCAGGGACGGCATGTCCTAGAGCCTTTCTCCTGCAAATATACTTTCTCCTCCCATTCTCTGGCAGGACTGGGACACTGCTGAGAGGCAGGAGGGGGCCCTCAGCTGGGACGAGCTCAAAGTGATGATCCCGAGGCAGCCTCAGGAGGGGCCGAGAGCCTACAGCTCCCAATGGGCTCCATCTCTCCTCACCAGATCCCCCGTGAGAGGAGACGCTGCAGGCCAGAAAAAGGAGGGTGAGTCCTTCTGCCAGGTTGGTTCCCATGCTCGTGGGTATGTGATGGCGTGGGGCTCCCCAGATAGCCATCTCACTGGCCATTTGGGACCTTGGGCATGGCTTACTTTGGTGGCCTGGGTGTTAATAATAGTAACAGTTCCAGCCGGGCACGATGGCTCACACCTGTAATTCCAGCACTTCGGGAGGCTGAGGTGGGTGGATCATGAGGTCAGGAGTTTGAGACCAGCTTGGTCAACATGGTGAAACCTCATCTCTGCTAAAAATATAAAAAATTAGCTGGGCGTGGTGGCAGTGCCTGTAATCCTAGCTTATCGGGAGGCTGAGGTAGGAGAGGCGGGAGGTGGAGAACCCAGGAGGCAGAGTTTGCAGTGAGCCGAGACTGTGCCACAGCACTCCAACCTGGGCAACAGTGAGACTCCATCTTAAAAAATAAAATAAATAAATATATAAAATAATAATAATAGTAACAGTTCCCTGTCATGATGGAGCAGCCACAATGAGCCATGCTACCCACTTGATTATTATTATTATTATTTTATTATTATTATTTTGAGACAGAGTCCCACTCTGTCTCCCAGGCTAGAGTGCAGTGGTGCAATCTCGGCTCTCTGCAACCTCTGCCTCCCCAGTGTAAGGTTGACCAAAAGCAGGGAGAGGCAGACCCAGGGTCAGGTTTAGCAAGTTTGTTTCAACCTGCCAGGCTGTCTCACCACAGGCAGTGAAGACAGCAGCCTGGCTTACACACTATGGGGGTTCTCTAGGGGGTTTCCAGGTGGCCAGGTGCTGTTTTAAGAAAAACTTCATTTTGGTTCTCGGGGGCTGACATCCTGCTTAATTGGGTCAACATTGTGGATCCAAGAGCCAGATGTGGTCACATCCTGGAACCTAGGTGCCCTGTTTACAAGGCCTGAGGCTATTTCTGTTATCAGCTTGGCTTAACAGGGGAGAATCGAGTGGTGGGGGGTGTCTATGGGCCTGACTTGTTGGAACCCTAACACCCAGTTCAAGAGATCCTTCTCCCTCAGCCTCCCAAGTAATTGAGATTACAGGTGCCCGCCACCACTCCTGGCTAATTTTTGTATTTTTAGTAGAGATGGGGTTTCACCATGTTCGCCAGGCTTGTTTCAAATTCCTGGCTGGGGATTACAGGAGTGAGCCGTCATGCCTGGCCATAGCCAAGGAGTTTGGGCTTTCTTCTGTAAGTAGCAGGGAGCCACCAAAGGTTTTTGAGGCAGAAAGTCATGTCATTGAACCTGTGTCTTAGGAAGTTCCCTAGGGCAAAGAGACAAAGGATGAATTGGAGCAGGGCAGGGCTGAAGGATGAGAAACCAGTTCAGAGGCTGCTATGTCCGCTGTAGCAATAACTGGTTCAGGCCTGAATCGCCGGCAAATGGGAAATCCCTAGGGTGGTAGGTTGTCAGGAAACAGGATAGTCATGGTCTCCAAGAATCAGCCCTCAGATTCTGCATCAATTACCGAGAGAAAAAGGCACCCTTAGGCTGGGGAGAGTGGGCAGATACACCTTCAGCAAGCGGCTGCTCAGCATGCCCGGAGTGGGGCAAACCAACATCAGATGTCCCCTGATGTGATGCATGGGGTTGGGGTGGGGATGCTGGGGTGGGCACGGAATCCCTTCCCTTGTAACTCGTCCTGCTGAAAGTGCATTGCCTGTACCTCACCCCAGTGAAACATCAAACACACCTGAATTCAGAGACATTCTGCAAAATGATTGGGCTATCCATTGGACAAAAAAGGGGCTAGGGGATGTTCCTGACTAAAAGAAACTACAGAGACAAGGACATGGAATGCCATGTGTGAGCCCAGTGGGATATGGGACAGGAGGAGACAGAGCTGTGATGGATGTTATTGAGACAACTGGGGCAATTTATTACTTTTTTTTTTTGAGATGGAGTCTCGCTCTGTTGCCCAGGCTAGAGTGCAGTGGTGCGATCTTGGCTCACTGCAACCCCCGCCTCTTGGGTTCAAGAGATTCTCCTGCCTCAGCCTCCTGAGTACCTGGGCCTATGGGCGCATGCCTGGCTAATTTTTTATATTTTTAGTAGAAGTGGGGTCTCACTGTGTTAGCCAGGATGGTCTCGATCTGCTGACCTCATGATCTGCCCATCTCGGCCTCCCAAAGTGCTGGAATTACAGGCGTGAGCCTCTGAGCCTGACAATTTATTATTATTATTATTTTTTGAGATGGAGTCTTGCTCTGTCACCCAGGCTGGAGTGCAGTGGCTCAATCTCCACTCACTGCAATCTCTGCCTCCCAGGTTCAAGCGATTCTCCTGCCTTAGCCTCCTGAGTAGCTGGGATTACAGGTGCCTGCCACCACGCCCAGCAGCTAACTTTTTGTATTTTTAGTAGAAACAGGTTTCGCCATGTTGGTCAGGCTGGTCTCAAACTCCTGACCTTAGGTGATCCAACCTCCTTGGCCTCCCAAAGTGCTGGGATTACAGATGTGAGCCACCTTGCCTGGCTAACTCGGGTAATTTGAATATGGACTGCATGTTAGATCACAGGATTGTATTGATGTTTTGTTTCCTGAGTGTGAAATGACATTGTGGATGAGAAGGAAAATGTCCTTGTTCTTAGAGGCATTAGGGAAGTGTCATGATGGCTTCAACTGCCCGTCTCACATGGGTCAACAAAATGGATCAATGATAGATAGGTGTGGGTAGGTAGATAGGTAGCATGTTAGTTCATTCTTGCATTGCTATAAAGAAATACCTGGCCGGGCATGGCAGCTCATGCCTGTAATTCCAGCGCTTTGGGAAGCCGAGGTGGGTGGATCACAAGGTCAGGAGTTCGAGACCAGCCTGGCCAACATGGTGAAACACCCTCTCTACCAAAAATACAAAAATTAGCCGGGTGTGGTGGTGGGTGCCTGTAGTCCCAGCTACTCAGGAGGCTGAGGCAGGAGAGTCTCTTGAACCTGGGAGGCAGAGGTCATAGTGAGCTGAGATCGAACCTCCCAAAAAAAAAAAAAAGAAAAGAAAAGAAAGAAAGAAAGAAATACCTGAGCTGAGGCTGGGTAATTTGTAAAGAACTTTTCTTGGCTCATGGTTCTACAGACTGTACTGGAAGCATGGTGCTGGCATCTGCTTCTGGTGAGGCCTCAGGGAGCTTACAATCATGGTGGAAGGTGAAGGGGGAGCCTGCGCATCACAAGGTACAAGCTGAAGCAAGAGAGAGAGGAGGAGCCAGCTCCTTTAAACAGCCAGCTCTGCTGTGAGCCGGCTCTGCTGTGACCCGGCTGAGCCAGAACTCACTCTTCACCAGGGGGTGGTTCTAGGCCAGGCATGAAGAATCCGCTCCCATGATCCAATCATCTCCCACCAGGCCCCACCTCCAACACTGGGAATCACACTTCTGTCTGAGATTTGGTGGGGCCTAACATCCAAACTATATCAGATCATAGACAGATAGATAGATGATACATAGACAGATCAGATAGATGATTGATTAGATAGATACATAGATAGAGAGATCGATCAGACAGATGATAGGCAGATAGATACATAGATACATAGATATATAGATAGATCAGGTTTTTTGTTGTTGTTGTTTTTCTGAGACAGAGTCTTGCTGTTATCCAGGCTGGAGTGCAGTGGTGAGATCTCACCTCACTGCAACCTCCACCTCCCAGGTACAAGCCATTCTCCTGCCTCAGATTCCTGAGTAGCTGGGACTACACGTATACGCCACTGTGTTAGGCTAATTTTTGTATTTTTAGTAGAAACTGGTTTCATCATGTTGGCCAGGATGGTCTTGAACTCCTGACCTCATGTGATCTGCCCACCTCAGCCTCCCAAAGTGCTGGAATTACAGGCGTGAGCCACCAGTAGTAGAGACAGGGTCTTGCCATGTTGCCTAGGCTAGTCTGGAACTCTTGAGCTCAAGTGATCCTCCCACCTTGGCCTCCAGAGGTGCTGGGATTACATGTGTGAGCCACCACTCCCACAGCTGTGGCTCCTTTAAGATCAGGCCACAGTACCCTTTACTCACCTAGAGCACCAGCTAAGGGACATGCACATAGCTGGTGCCCCACGCCTGCTCGGTGACTGACGGATGGAGGGGAGTGGAGAGTAACACACCAAGGTCATGGCAACTCTGTCATGAGGCTAGGAATTGCGAAGAGGCTACTACTGAGGACAGTTATATTAATTCCTTAGGCCAGCACTTCTGAAACTATAAATAAAATAATATAAGGTGTACAAATCACCAGAGAGCTTTGTTAAATGCAGATTCAGAAGCAGTGCATCTGGGCTGGGACCTGAGATTCTGCATTTCTGGCAAACTCCCAGTTGCCCGTTTACAAAAGGATGTCCGTTCCTGCACCTTTCCCAACCTCACAGCAGCCCTGGAAGAAGGCTCAGGGCAGGAACATTTCGATATAAGGAACGGGGGCTTTCCAGAGCTGTCACACATGAAACAGGCTCATTAGAACCTGTCTCAGGCTGGGCGCCATGGCTCACGCCTGTAATCCCAGCACTTTGGGAGGCCAAGGTGGGGGGATCACCTGAGGTCAGGAGTTTGAGACCAGCCTGACCAACATGGAGAAACTCTGTCTCTACTAAACACACAAAATTAGCCAGGTGTGATGGCGCATGGCTGTAATCCCAGCCACTCAGAAAGCTGAGGCAGGAGAATCGATTGAACCCGGGAGGCGGAGGTCGTGGTGAGCTGAGATGGAGCCACTGCACTCCAGCCTGGGCAATGAGAGTGAAACTCTGTCTCAAAAGAAAAAAAAAACCTGTCTCTACTAAAAATACAAAAGTGAGCTGGGCGTGGTGGTGTGTGCCGGTAATCCCAGCTACTTGGGAGGCTGAGGCAGGAAAATCCTTTGAACTCAGGAGGCAGAGATTGCACTGAGCTGAGATAGCGTCACGGCACTCCAGCCTGGATGACAGAGTGAGCCTCCATCTCAAAAAAAAAAAAGCAAACAGAAATTGGGGGAATTCCTCGGATTCTGATTGAAGGAAATAAAACTGAGAGGGATAGACTGTCAGGTGGCGACTGTCAGGTGGCTGCTGCCGGGCCCCCTCCCCCTCCCTGGGGTCACGTGGGCTGTTGGCAACACTTCTTCTCTGTCTTGTCCATGGATGATCCCCCAGATCATGAGGATGTTCGGTTCTTGAACCCATCTCTTGACTGAGTCAGGGTCTCCATTTCAAATTCTTTTTTTTTTTTTTTTTTTTTGAGTTTCCCTCTATAGCTCAGGCTGGAGTTCAGTGGCATGATCTCGGCTCACTGCAGCCTCCGCCTCCTGGGTCCTACTTCAAGCAGTTCTCCTGCCTCAGCCTCCCAAGTAGCTGGGATTACAATTACACGCCACTGTGCCCAGCTAATTTTTGTATTTTTGGTAGAGATGGGGTTTTACCACGTTGGCCAGGCTGGTCTCAAACTCCTAACCTCAGGTGATCCACCCGCCTTGGCCTCCCAAAGTGCTGGGATTACAGGCGTGACTACCGAGCCCAACCAGTTTCAAATTCTTGATCTCATCTTGAGAGAGGCATCCAAGCCCTTGTCTAACCAGCCTTGGTCAGAGAGGTGGAGTCACTTGGTACAGACAGAGGCCTGTAAGAGGAGGGTGTGGGGTCTGCCCTAATCACTGGTCCTAGGGGACAAAGAAAGGTGGAATATGAGAGCTGTCTGGACCCCTCCACTTACCTTGAGCCTCTCTCTTCTCTCTCCAGACACCGGTGGTGGGGGCCGGAGCGCAGGACAGCACTGGGCAAAGCTCCGGGGAGAAAGCGGGTACTTCTCCCTGGAGCGGCACCAGCCACCACTGACCCAGGCTTCCTCCATGACACCACACAGCAGACCTCGAAGCGCCACCCCCCAGGCTTCCCCCGGCCAAAGGGACATTGCCCAGGCTGCCTCTACACAGCATGACACCACCCGAGCCTCCTCTCCTCACCAAATCACCCAAAGGGATGCCCCCGGGGCCTCATCCACACAGCAGGATACCTCCAGGGCCTTATCCACACAGCGGAACACCCCCAGAGCTTCCACTCCCTCACGAAGCACCCAACAAGATAACCCCAGAACCTCATCCAACCAACAAAATAATCCTCAACTTTCTTCTCCCCTAAGAGCCACCCAACAAGATAACCCCAAAACCTCTTTTACCCAGCAGGACAACCCCCAAACTTCTTCTCCTGCTTGTACTCCCCAGCGGGAAAACCCCAGAACACCCTGTGCCCAACGAGACAATCCCAGACCTTCCTCTCCCAACAGAACTACCCAACGGGACAACCTCAGAACACCCTGTGCCCAGCGGGACAATCCCAGAGCCTCTTCTTCCAACAGAGACAACCCCAGAACACCCTGTGCCCAGCGGGACAATCCCAGAGCCTCTTCTTCCAACAGAGACAACCCCAGAACACCCTGTGCCCGGCGGGACAATCCCAGAGCCGCCTCTCCCAACAGAGCCACCCAACGGGACAGTCCCAGAGCCTCATCTCCCAACAGAGCCACCCAACGGGACAA